TTTTCCAAATTAATAATTGTTTAATTATGTAATAATAATTAAATAAATGTGATATAAATATAAAATACCTAATTAATATAACATGAAAAATTTTTTTTTACAAAATTTTTTATAAATGCACCCTATTGCTAATTCCCCGAAGGGTGCATTTATAGAGTATGAAACTTTTGCATCCCATAGTATAATATAACCTGATACATATGAACTGACCCATCCCCTTTTAAATCAGCTGATTTAGCTGATTTCTGGCACGCCCCTTTTAATCATTTTTTTTATTTATTTTTTATTAACCCTTTTTTTTACAACTGAATACTAGTTTAACAGGTACATGAGGCTTACAGTATTTCAAGTATTTCACAAGTAAATAATATTTGTATTGCATATTTTTTTTTTGTATTTAAAGAATGCTAATCTGAGAAGGGCGGGTGGGACGTTATTCGTATAATCGTAATCGTAATTGAGTAGCGAGTAGCGAATATATATAGTAATCGTACACGAATAATAGATAGAAGAAATAAAAACCCTTTTGGTAAGATTTTCTTACCAAAGAAAGAGAATAGTGGCAAACGTTTTAAAATATCCTTTTCAAGGACTTTTTCATAGCATTCACCACTTACGTTGCATTAATTTTGTAAGATATTTTTGTTATTTTATTTTGTAATAGAATTCGTATAAACTTTTTAATCAGAATAAATATATACTTTGACTTTTTTTATTATTACAAAATGTCTTCTGTAACCAAAAAAAATACTATAAATCAACAAATGATTAAATCAATACAATAATTATTGCACTATTCCTGAAAACACACATAAAGCAACAACTAAGTGGGTCTGCATTTTAGAAAATTGGCGCAACGAGACAATCACATAAAGAACAGCTTGAAAAGGAAATGATAGAGTTTATCTTGGGAATTCGTCAAATCAACACAAGGAAGAATATGTACCATCGTCTCTAATTAATTGTATTAATTTATTAAGCGTATATCTTTTTAATGAAAACAAGATATTTAATCTTTAATAAAAGTTACGCAAATGAGTTATAAAAAATTTTATCTGCTCCATAATACCTCCTTTACCTTATAGCGAATCGAATAAACCAACCAATTGATATTTATGCAAAGATTTTGAATAATAATTAAAGATTTAAAATTGATTTAAGTGAATGACATCTAATCCAACTCTCCATGAGTTATATTCATAATGTTTCGCAAGCATTAAAGGCTCCCATTCACCGTATTTTTGAAATAATCGACCAAATCTTATATAATTATCTTTGAAAGCATTTAAAGATTTCCACCATTTTTTATCAATAATAGAAATATACGCGAAATCATGATAAATCTTCATTTTCTCAACGAATAATGTCTTGGTATTAAATAATTTCCTTGCACGAATACAAAATTCTACATCCTCAAACGAAGCTTTCTGAAAATCTTCATCAAAAGTCATCGCTTTAAGTAATTGAGTGGGAGCACATAGATTACAAGTTGTACCATATAATAATGATTCATCGGAAGGCAGATAAAGGCCATTTAAAGTACCAAAGAGATCATGATAAAGGTCAAAGTGCGTATCACCAAGTGATTGAGTTAATCCACTAAGAATCATACAATTTCCATATTTTTGACGATTATTTTCAAAATATTCTATTGCGGATTCAACCCAAAATTGAAAAGGTTGGCAATCCATATCAGTAAACATTATTAAGACTGGGTTTAATGTGAAAGCGACACTTAAAGAAAATTTAAATTTCATAGAATTTATTGTCGTATTAAAAAAAAAAAAAAATTGTACAATATATTTTGCATGAAATAAACCTACTTTATTCCATGATTACGAGCATTTCCAGGACCACCATTTTTTTCTAATTTTATATATATAATGTTTATATAAGAATCAGTTGAATCAGTAGGAAAAATCTCTTCATATTCATATTGAAAAGGTGACGCGTCATCCACAACCACAACAGCCATCGGTGATATTGTTTGTCCGGCTAAACATTTTAATACTGCGCGAGCTTGTAATAAAGAGTTTTTAGAAGTAAGATAAATAGGCACCACTACAACAACTGTGGTCTTTTCCCTAAATTCTTGTTCAATAGGAATTAAGAAAGTTTCTTTATAATTCTCAGCAGACATATCAACATTTAAAGTTTTCGATTGTAATTCTTGAAATTCATTTTTAAATCTTCCGTTTGAATAACATAATAATGCAGTGATCTTAAGAAAAGTAATAATAAGTCTATCCCATAATTTTAATGAAGAATTATAATAATAGGATGACTTATCAAACCAAAGATTTTTTATGTCATAAATAATTCCTGAATATATAGCGCCAGTCATTATTTATTATTTCTTTTTTGAAAGAAAAAATATTAATACAATCGAAAGAATGAATGAATGAAAGAATTTAAAAAGAATATATTATTTTGAGAATTAATCCATGACATCATTTTTATCGAAACTGCTATCATTAAAAGAGTTAATTTATTTAACATCCGACAGCATGTCAAAAATTAAAGATGAAAAAGATTCATTAGTAGATTTTACAGGCCAAAATAGGTAAGCGATTACCAAAAATTGTAAATCTCGTGATTTATGTAATTAGTGTCCTCGATGAAATGTTATGAATAATGTTTTTAAATATATTACGTAATATTTACGTGAGAAAATTGGGCATTGTTTTATAAAAAGGTTATTAATTTATGTTTCACATTTCCCTAATATTTATGTACTGTACATAATAATAATAAATTTTTAATCAATTTGAGTCTTGATATTTAAGAAAGTGAAATTACTAGCAAGATAAAAAGGTATATGCAGAGTAATATTCTTAGATTGAAAATTTATTATTTTGAATATAATATATCGAAGAGTGCTACTTTATAATTAGCTAAAAAATTGTTAAAATTTTTTAAAAATCCAAATCGATCAGTCCAGAATCAGCTAAAATAAAAAATAAATTAAATTAATCTAAATTTAAATCTAAAAAATAAATATAATATAATAACATATAAAAATATAATTTATACTTACTAGTATTTAAATAAGACCCAGTTAATTCTTCAAGTTCTTTTTCAAAAATTTTCATCATTTTTAGGTTTTTGGGAGACTTGAAAAATTGGTACAAATTGCTTGTAGATGTGTTTTATAATCAAGTGAAGTTGTGGTGGTGATTATACCGGTTGATTGAGAAAATTCTTCTGTTTTTTTAATTTGAATTACAATCTCGGAATCCTTATAATAATTCCTATAGTATTAATTAAATTTGATACCCAATTCTACTCGATGAGTAATTCGAGCATCCCAACATCTCATAATCATTCTTGTAATTAATTTTGGAGTATGAAATGGAATTCTGGGTCGTAATCCATTACATATTTTCACTGCCAAATCTTTATTATGTGGTATATCATGATATGGGGGAATCCCTGTAATGATTTCATAAGTTATAATTCCAAACGAATATACATCAGCTGCCTTTGTATACTCTTCACCGATTAATACCTCTGGAGCTACATAAGGTAATATCCCAAAAATATTCTTCTTTTCAGGATTAATTGGATCTGGACCTATTAATTTACTTAATCCAAAATCTGTAATATAAAAACTATATAGAGAATCCGTAAAATTATGTATTAAAACATTTCCAGGATGAAAATCCTGGTGTATTATATCTAATTGATGAATTCTTTTAAAATTAAGAGATAATTCTTTTAAATAATCTAATTTCCTTCCCCAATTAATATTTTTCAAATTATCTCTAAGATTTCCATCTTTAGCGTAATTTAAAACCATCACATATTTCTGTGATTCTGGACCTTGTGTAATTCCAAGAAATCGAATTGAAGTATAACCCCCCTTTTGAGTGAATTAATATCTAAATAATATAAATATTACTTTTTAATTTTATTATCTGATTTGGCAAACGAATTTTCAGATTAATAAAAAAATCATCATTTAAACTTGCAAAATTATCAAAAATTTTTAATGCCACATCATGAACATATTGACTATATCTTTTCCATTGTTGATTTTTGGTATCCCATTCTTCAATTAATCCATCAATCCACCTAGCTAAATGTATTGTTCCAAAACCACCTTTTGCTATTTGTTTAATATATTCTAATCTATCATAAGGTATCCATTCTATTACTTCATATTTAGTATTAGCATTTAATTGAGCACCTTGAATGAATTTATCTATTGCGTTATTTCCACTTGTCCATTTATTAAAATCATTTTTGAAATGTTTGGAGTTACATGGATGGCACCATGTCTCCCAGCCAGTATAATTTGGATTGTACCATTTTCTATTTACTTAAAATGTATGTAAAGAAGAAGTTCATTTTTTTTTTTATAAAGAAATTGAATTTTATAATTACGCTTAGATGGTCATTTATTATAACGTTTTTTAATTAACCTTTTCATGAGTTGCTTTTTAAGTAATTATTTAGTGTGTTATTTGATACGTGTTGTGTTTCTCATTTCAAAGATGACACATTGTGGTATGGTAGGACAAGGAAAAATGGAATGATCAAAACCATGAAATAAATGAAGATGAAGATAACAATTACAATTATGTTACTTTATAATTAGTGAAACTATGATAACAATATTTAATAATAACTTTAATTTAAAACTAGAAATATCCAAATATATCATTCCGGAATCAAATAAAATAAATTTTAATCCTTGAAAAAATTGAGAAGTTGAATGGAATAAATTACTTGTGAATGGGTTGATGGAGAAAAAAATTCCGAAGTTGATTTATAATTTTTTCAGAATTCTTACATATTCTGAGTTACATTAATCGTGTGAGAAGATTATCAAGAAAGATGTATGATCGACTTCGTTTTGCACGTGTGTAATGATCATCCTACGAGATTACGAGATCCGGATGAAAATTATCCGAAAATGGATTTATAAATACCCCTTAAACAGAATAGGGAATTGAAGCAACAGTAAAAATTTCTCACCAAAGTAACGGTTACTTGCTCAAGATTAACACCCTTGAGAAGGACACACCTTTTCAACCCTAACCCAACACCGGCGTATTATTAACCTTGCCATATATTTATGCAGAGATATGACTCTGGGTTCTCTGGAAGACTTTGCTTAAATAGAGTGGGTTAACTTACTTTACTTTCCTTTGCAGACCACTGAATTGGGTACCTGACTGGACTGTAAAGTATCATAGTTGATAATACGATCTGAAGTAATAAATGCTTCGATAATTTTAACTAGGAGCTTATACCTGAGTTTCCACCTAGTATAAATAAGTTGGGAACCGGGAAAGTGTGTTCTTCGCGAGTTTCCCGTTACTCTGCCACCTGTTTAGGTGGACATTAATTTTGGTATGCAGACTTGATTCCGACCGGGTTTACAGGGTTTCGACTCGCTTTGCCCGTGTGGTCTTGTATGCAGCAGGTGAAATTATTTAAACTGTTTTTTTTTTTTTAATTTATTCTCAAAAAAAGTATTTGAGATAGATTTGTCAGCAAGAAATATATAACAAACATATACGAAATTAAATTTATTTTTTTTTTCCTTTGAAAAATTATTAATTTATTTATTTAAAATATAAAATGTAAAATTTAATCTATAATAAAAATGGAATAACTAATTTAAATTACTATTAAATTAAAATAATTTAATAATGAATTGTTAAATTTAAATTATTATTATTATTAAATCCCAACTGGCACTATATTTATTTTTCTATCGCTATATAAATAAGCAATAAATTTTCCGGATACATTTTCATCCCAAGTAGAAAATATTACGAGATATCCTAATAATAAAAATAAAAATTATTATTAACGTTATTAATTCTAAAAAAAAAAAAAATTATTATAAATTACCTTCTTCACGCGGTGGCAATACAACATCATCTATTACTGCTCCCTACAAAAGGATGAAAAAGATGTAAAGGATGTAAAAGATTTAAAGGATGTAAAGAATGTTAGATGATCAAATGAATGAAATAAATAATCAATTAATCAATCAATAAATCAAACCTGTAAATAATTTGTATAAGGTCCCGAACTTCCAACTTCTTTACCCAATAATTTAGATGAATGGTTTTCAAATATTTTAATATTAGTTAATGGAGTTGGTGTTATTTCTGGTGTTTGTAATCTAATTCTATTTATAATCATATATACACGTTAATTATAGTAATAATAATAATCATCATCAGATAGAGATATATTAATCAAATATATAAGATATATATATATAACAATTAATAATAATTAACTAAACAACATACTTTATAGTAGTCAATTCTTTAATATTCAAACAATAACTTGGATTATATCTATATTCATTATTATTGATCCGACCCATGGCATTTACTCCCGGAATCCATTCTCCATGAATTATCTCCGGGAATAATCCCTACATAAAAGTTAAAATTATATAGCTGAGTTATGTATAAATGAAATGAAATTATACAATATATTATATATAAATTATTACTTACCGCTCCTTCGGAAGGAATGGGAGAAACTTTTAATGAAATATTTGACGCGACATTTAATATGTAAGTACCGGTTATTCCCGGTTCAAAAGTTGACACAATTATGGTATAATCACCCACTAATAATGAAAATAATGAAAATAATGAAAATAATGAAAAATAATGAAAAATAATGAAAATAATGAAAAATAATGAAAATAATGAAAATAATGAAAATAATGAAAATAATGAAAAATAATGAAAATAATATAATATGATAATATGGGATGGGAAATAATAAAGAATTCTTAAGTCACTTACATTTTATATCATCTATTTCACAATAACAAAATCCACGTTGATATCCTCTTGATTGAACTACAATATCTTTAGGTGATAAACTAAAATAATTGTAATAATTAATTAATTAATGGTAATTTCTTATGATTATAATTAATTGATTGTAATTACAAATTCAAAAAAAAAAAAAAATTCTACAAACCTAGAAACTCGTTTTCCTTTACTCCAAACTAATTTAACATTTATTGCCACATTTATTGGTCCTTCCAACATAAGCATCACACGTGGTTTAGGATTATTCTTGTTGGTGTTATTAGGTGATGAAGAAGGTAATGACAAACAATATTGAGGATTTTTTAGATATGATATACAATTTGTGTTTCCTCCCGCTGTTTGTGAAATCCATTTACCATATGACTAAGTAATAATAATATTAATAATGTTTAATAATAATAATATTATTAATATTAATAATGTTTAATATTATGACAATAATGATAATGATATTTGAATGTAATAATAAAACTCACTTGAAATTCAAATTGATATTTAAAAGGTATTTCGGATAAAGTGAAAGGCGTATGACAATAACATTTGAGAGTGAAATCAAATGAATTTATTTTTTCACGTTGAGCTACAACAACTGTATATCGACTTATTCCCGGAGGTGCATTAAATCTAGCCTTTATTGTTTGTTATTATTATTGATTATTTAGAATTATTATTATTATAATTATTATGATTATTATTTATAAAATAATAAATATCATACTATCATACCAAGTAATGTGGATTATTCGCGTAAATCCCCTATAATTATAGTAATAATAATAAATCAATAAAAATATCGTAATAATAATAATAATAATAATAATAATAATAATAATAATAATAATTTAATAATAAGTTAATAATTCAATTTATAATAAATAATAATTAAAATTAATAATTACCTGTTTCCAACATGGTTCACTTGAATAATAAATTCTTTCACCTTTTGATTCATTATAAACATGTAATGTAATATATTCTTTATTCTCTTGTGAAATAGTTATGTGTTTTGATAATAAAAGAAATACTGGTGAATCTTCTTTATCATCATTTCTGATTTCCAAACAAAATTGTGGATTGTATCCTATTATTATAATAAATAAATAACAAATAACCAATGATTATTAATCATAAAATATTATAATTATTATTATTATTAAATATATTACCTAAATTAGGAGAATCTTTACACAACCAAGAATTCAAATTCCATGATCTAACATAACATAAATATATATACAATAAATACATTATCTAATGATGAATTCATATAATATATTTTATTTACTCACGAGTGTATAGTATCAAAATATTTGAATAATTCCGGATTCCAATTCATATGAATCGAATCAAAATATTGACAAACGGAATCAAAATCAATCCAAAAAATTCCTAATCAAATATTATTATTAAAATGATAGATTGATAGATAGATAGATTGGTTAATAGATAGATAGATAGATATTAATTAATTAATAAGATATATATATATATATATATATATATTAATGTGATAGATCTACCATCATCATTTAAAGCAGCGGGTATACGATCATAATCCAATTCACGCATTAATTCAGGTGTCCAATTTGTACTATCCAAATGACTGTATGGTCCAATCCACCTTTTATGACTCCAGGGATTTTTAATCTAAAAAATTCCATAACATAACATAACATAACATAATATATTTATATTATCATATAATTATATTATCTTATAATCATATAATCATATAATCATATAATCATATAATATATAATTACCTGTAATAATCTTAATCCATATACTTCTCTCACATCTAATACCGCATAAGCGTGAGTAGGAACAATTCCAACATCATTGGCTTCATCTTCATTCATATGTCCTGTACCTATTGATATTAATGCATCCCCTAATAATATATATTTTTTAATATTAGAATATTTATTCATAATCTATCCATATTCTATGTTTATGATATGGATATAATTCTCTTGCCATATTTTTGACCATCCAATAAACGCTTCCACGTTGAATCTTTAAGGAAATCTTTACTAAATTAAATGAATCAAATGAATGAATGAATTAAAATTAATGAAATTAATGAATGAGTGAATTAAAATAAATGAATTAAATGAATGAATTAATTAATTAATTAAACGAATGAATGAATGAATAAATTTTAAACTTACTCATGAATAAAAATTTGTTCAGGAATCCATCCAGTAAGTGCACTAATAATAATTATTAATTATTATTATCATTATTATAAAATATTATTTACACTTATCAATTTATATTTATCATATATTGTTACATACTGAAGGTCGATTCCTGAATTTCTAAATAACAAAAAATATTAAAATATTAATATAATAATAATATTAAAATAATAATAAAAAAATTATTATTATAATAATAATAATAATAATAATAATAAACACTTACGATCCAAGAAAATCATATCCACCCATTAATTTCATATACTAAATATTATTATTATCAAAATATCATTTATTAATTAATTAATTAATTAATTAATTTATATATATAAGTTAAAATTCATTCTTTAAATTATTTAATACTACAAAAAAATTTTTTAATAAAAAAAGAATCACTTTGCGCAAAAATAAATTAATAAAAAGAATAATAAAACCAAACATTAAATATCAAACATTAAATATTATTATACATACAGCTTTCTCAATAATACTAGGCCACAATTCATCTTTATTAGAAGAAAATGTACACATCAAAATTCCATCCTTCGAAATTGGTAATAAATCATCCACCACTAAAAATTATTTTCGTGAATATATATGTTGTATGTAATTATCCAATAATTACAATAATTACAAAAGAATATTTACCAACCTGAATTGATAAAAATTAATAATATTATTAAATATTAGATAATAATAATAATAATAATAATAATAATAACAATGATATCAATTTAATAATTAATTAACCAATTAAATCGGATCATATGATATCAGGTAAACTTACTTTTCTTGCAATTCCATTACATATAAGTTGAATAACATATTTTCCACTTGGATTATATTTTGGTTGACCCACTTCATTTTGTGGAAAAATACATCTCGTTATTAACTAATTGATATCAATTGATAAAAATATTAATAATTGCTGGAAGAAGAATAATAATAATTGTATTAATAATATAATAATAATAATAACAAACACCTGTTTTTTATGTTTTCTTTCATAAGCTGCACTGACGCAAAGAGAAGCCACGAATGAACAATCAGAAACAATATCCTAAAAATATTTACAATATAAAAACACAAAATAAAATATATAAGATAAAATTAAACATATAAGATAAAATAATGAATATAATTTACTTGTCGAATAGTAGTACTAGAAATCATTGTAATCATTCTTGGACGATTCATAATTAATGAAGGACGTTTCCATGCACCAAATTTTGATCTCTGTTGATTAGAAAGAGTTAATGTTCCATCCGGATCTCTACATAAATATATAGAAAATAAATAATAATAAATTAGATGGTGAATAATAATCTTATAATAATAATGATGATGATGATGATGATGATGATAATTCTAATAATGAATATTAAACAGACATACAAAAATGGTTTATCATATGTAAATATTTCTTTTAAATCAATTTCATTCCATGGTAAATATTTCTTTCCATTAATGCATGAATTTTTTTTAAGTATTTCTTTTTCTTTTGTAGTAAGTTTTGATCGCATTGGTACTGGATTCACTAAATAAATAATATTAATATGTATTTAGATTATTTAGATTGTGTAGATTACATAGATTAATGGAATAAATATAAATGTAATAACAAAAATATTTAATAACCGAATAAAATAGAAATAGAATAAAATAAAATAACCGAATAAAAATACCAGATATTTTAGATTTAGTAGGTAATCCTTTCAAATCCTCTGCTCGAACAATTAATTCCTCAATCTTTGATTTTAATTTTAATTTTAATGATTGATCATCCGTCTCTAATTAATTTAATTAATTATATATCAATATATCATATATATTATTAAGAAACATATAATTATACAATAGTTATTATATGTCGTGCGTTAAGGTATTTACCAATTCTTGCTTCCATATACAATTCAGCTGCTTCTGTGTATAAATTTAATGCTTCCTGATCATTCTTTTTTTGTTCTTGTTTTTTGGCTTGATCAAGTATTGCCTAAATAATATAATAATTAAAAAATAATATAAATAATTAAAAATATTATAAATAGTTAAAAGTAATATAATAATTAAAAATAATATAATAATTAAAAATAACATTATAATTAAAAAATAATAAATAATATAATAATTAAAAAATAATATAAATAATGTAAATAATATTATAATTAAAAAAAAATATAATAATATATAAAATAAACTAACCTGGGCTTTTATTAAGGTTATTCTTATATTATTAGATTTAGAATTATTAGAATTATTAGAATTATTAACATTGCTATTATTATTATTATTATTATTATTATTATTATTATTATTATTATTATTATTATTATTATTATTATTATTATTAT